AGAAATATTGATAAATATTCTAAATAATGCATTTTTATAATTATTTCGAGATATGATTCACTGTACTCTTGGTTCTATTATATATGGTCTAATTCAAAATATTTAATTAAATAAAAATTCATGAAAGAAGCAGAATTTCCATGAAATAAAATGATAAAACTCGCAAAAATAGCCAATATAAAACCAAAAATTAATGAAAAATACTGAGACAGCACGCCTCGTACCTCAATCAGTCCTATGAAACCATTAATAAAAACACTAAAAAATGAACTTTATATATTAGTTCGAGAAGAATTTAAGCTAAAACACTGCAGATAATCACCTAAAAATACCATATTATACTATTGCGGTAAAAATTCGCATCTTCGGAAATTCATTTCTCGAAAACAATAATTGATTAAGGACTGACGTCTTTTATTTTAACTTATCCTTCAAAAAAACAAGAAAGGAAGAACAAAGAAACATTCTTTTAACTTCCAAAGGGAACTTCCAAAAGTTAAGATTTCTTAATAAAACGTTTCAACTCTAAAATCCAAATACGAAGTTTATCATAAACGTTTTCAAACATTCTTTGAACTTCCGAACGAGAACTTTCAAAAGTTGACATATTACCACCATGGTTCTTCCAATATTCTAATGCCACTTTATCAGCGTAAGCCTGAAGTTGATTCATTTTGAAAACTGAAGTTTTAATTTTCATTGTATGTTCTGAACCTTGAAAATTATTACTATTGTATAACTCTCTCATGTGTAATTGTGCAGATTCTTGAAGAATATATATTAAAGATCCATACGTTTCAGCATTTGTATCAATATACATAGAATCATAAGGAATATGAGCAATCATAGTTTGAATGTTGGTTTTAACATCATCCGAAATCGAATTATGATAATCATTATAAATTTCACTATACCTTGGTATTTCTGTCAAATCTACAATTGTATTGCAACCAAATTGGTAACGAACAAATAAGTCAATAATGTTTCTATAAACAGACATAACTTTGTTGTTAATCACATGTTCTCCTCTTTTACTTCTATCTTTCTTGGATTGAATTTCAGTCTTTAGATCTTCAACTAAATTAAAAATCGCCTTCTTGGCTTTTTTACCTCTTTTAGCAACAATATTTTTTTAATTTAGCAATTACTTGTTGTTTATTAAAGCCTTTTGCAGCTCCATAATCAACCAAAAATTGAGCTAATTTTTCTGTTGTGTTTGGGGCTTTGAATGGCCAATCAATTTCATATTTTTCTAGTATTTTTACACATTCAATAACATCATTATTGAGTAATACATCAATAAATTCTCTTATTGAACCAGCAACTGGAAAATCATCAATTGCTAATATCAAAACTCTTTCCTTAAATGAACCAACTACAGAAGGTAACTCTTCAAACCTCTTCGCAATAGTTACACTATGTGCAATAAAATTAGCAGCGGTTTGGAGCGTGGTGTTGGTCACAGCGTCCTTCATTAGAATCATCTTGACTATTTCGTTGCAAGGTTGACATCTTAGTACAGCCGCGTAAATGTTGTTATAGGAAACGATAGATATAGGCATTTTCGGCATAGGAGGATTCTTACCATTGTAAATCTTTTTAGTTACAATTGGATCAACATATGTGTCCACTTTATACCATGAGGTCACATCTACACCTGAGGGCACATCAACCGATATAATGTGTGGTGATTTCATAGCCTTAAATAATCCACGGATCTCAGATTTTCTCAAAGAAAATTTCTCTTCTAATATTTGCTAATTGAGGCAGTACTACTGTCAAACGCTTCAATTTTAAGTTCCTCTAGTAAACTAAATAAATATCCAGCATTACTGTGAGGCTTAACATCTAGGTTCATGATGCCAACAATGTTTTTACCAAGATTTGAAGAATCTGCATTTTTAACCGCTTTTTTCAATTCGTTTGCTGCTTTTTGAATGTTTTGAGCCAACTGACTCGCAGTTTGTCCATTTTTGAGTGTAATTTTACTTCGTTCAATCTCGCTCTTATATTGTTGATACTGAGCTCTATTATCTTTTAAGTTCTTGTACGTTTTGGCATATGACCTGCCCGCGAGACCATCGAAAACTGGAGTTAAGGCCCAGTCAAATCCTTCACCCGCTTCCATTTTGCCGTCAACTATTCTTCTCAGTGATTGAATATGACCACATAGTCGGAATTCA